AATTAAGAGCTGGGGCGTGATTGTCCATACTTCTTTTCCTGCTGTGACAGACCCTGAGGCCTCAAATTGATACCTTGGTACCATAGATTGTAGGACCTCTGTCAGTCTGGGTTCCTAAGTGACTACATTGAAAATAAACAGCCTGATAACTCTCTTCAGACGTAGCATGAGTAAGAAATAAATGATTACTGTTGTAGATGTTAATAGCAGTAGCATTCTATTGTTATACATTTGGTTTATAAATTTAAGATTTTACCACCTAAGCATTAAGGAACTTATGAGCAAGAAGAATGGGACTCTGTGCTACATATTACAAATATAAATCCAGGTTTGAGGATGACAGATAAAGTGACATCAGCTTCATCATACTTTGTTTTAGTTGTGCATTCTGGAAAAAGTCCTCATTCACATGGTTAAAAATCTTTTGTGGTCCTAAGGATTGACATTTTAGGATTGCTTGTTCCTGCACCGTAATCTAGCCTATCCCGACAGATACATTTGCTCAGTGTCATTTGTCTTTACATCTTATTTTCAATATTTGAAAGTCTGCTGCAACGAGAAAAATATTCATAACTCTTGCTATTCTTTTAGTGCCTACGACTTCAGTAAGTATTAGAGATGTGGTCCAATTAGCAGAGAAGACAAGACTGAGGCAGAGTTAAATTTTCAAATACTGCATGCACAGTCAAAGGGGAGGCATCAGGGAGGGAAGGAAGGAAGAGAGAGAGAGAGATGGACGGATGGACAGATGGACAGAGAAATATATGAAGGGAGTAAAGAGACATGGAGAGAATGCTTTTATTGGGAATGCTTAAGATATCATGACCAAATGCTACTTACGAGAACACTGAAGTCCACTGCCTTTGTATCCCTGCTTGCACTTGCACTTGAAGGATCCTTGGGTATTGAGGCAATTGGCGTAGAGGCTGCACGTATGGGTATTCACAGCACATTCATTTACATCTAAAAATGTGAACATCCTGTGAACAAACTTGTAGTAACACGGCGTGCTGAAAGACTATCATCCCTTACACTCGAGCAGCTCCAGGGCCAGCCACCAACATGGCCAACAAACCAAGTTTGGCCTGAGAACTGCAAGCTGTAAAATTCTCAGCACCTTGGCGCAGAGCCCCGGCTTGCCTGACACCCAGTATGTAGGGAGTGTGTCTGCAGCTCACTTCCCCCACGGCCGTTTTATCTGCTGATCAATACTGCTGAAATCTATAAGATGCTTAGGTTGTTTTCTTAACTTTTTCATCAGCTTAATTTAGAACTAAATCACAATATCAGAAAATAAATTCTATACATGGAAGGACTTGGAACTCCTAAGCAAAGAAGGACAAGATGGGTTAAGAACCATTGACATCACCTGAATTCATAGGCATTTTGTTCAAAGACTGCCAGGAGCAAGGGTCAGGCTAGTCCGAGCTTGTCTGCTGGATGTAGACTAGGAAAGTTTGTGAATTCCACCTAGGTGAGAGGCTCATTCGCCCTCTGCTCCACCCTACTGCCGAGCTGCAGCTTTTGTAGACATATGCACACAAAATAGCCTACTGTTTTTAATTTAGTCGCAAAGGGAGCTCGGATGCTAATCTCCATCACTTTTAAAATCACAAAGATTTCTTTCCTTTGGAAGCTCTCCATATGACTTTGCACCCTGTCCTGTGGGACCTCCCTGTAGGTATCACGGAACAGGCTTGTGCTGTGTGACTCAGCATCACTGATTACAGAGCTGGGCGGGTCTGTAGGGGGTTCACCAGTCTGCCTAGAACAGCCCTTGTGTTTGAGAAGATTTGAGAGAAGAGCTGTGGGACCTTCACAAGACTGTTCAACACCCAGTAACTGAGTGTCGCCCCAACACAATTACACAGGACGTGTCCTGGGACGCTCTGAGTGTAGGGTTGAAAGAAACCCTACTTTTCCCCCAACTGTTCGTTAGCTTTCTACATCACGTGCATGTTTGCTACACGTTACGTGACTAGGATTCTACAGGGAGACCAAACTTCCCTTCGCTGTAAGACAGGCCCCATCCCACGTTATGTCTGGGTACTGGGAAGGTGTCCAAGAGCCCCCCAACACCCACCTTCGCTTGCTCATTGAGACTTGGGATCCCTTCACTAAGGGATAAAATAGTTTTTTTTTTTTTTCACAAAGATCAGGCCCATAGCTAACTGATACCAGAATCTTATCAGAGTGGCTTCAGTGACCCTGGAAAGGGGATATCTGACGGGATGTGGAACTTGAAATATGACAGGGCTGAAAGAGAGAGGAAAGAGCACGTGCCTCTACCTCCACCTGTTTGTAAAGCCACCTTCATGGCAACGGTCATGAACAGATCACCGAGATCGAGATTAAGTAGGCCTTGTTATTCTTTCTTTTATCAAATATAGAAACTGCTTTATTGTTCCCATTTTTAGATTTGCATCTGGACAAAAAAATCCAAAATTAAAAACCAAAACCAACCGATTTTTTTAAAAAGGCCACAGAAATCATTTCAAGATATTTGTTCCTATAAGAGAGCTATATAGACTGAATTTCCCTACTTTAAAACTTTACAGAACTGGCTTCATGTAACTCAGGTCATCAGAGTTCCCTAAATGCCAGAAATGTAAAATATGTAACTTCTTCTGTGTTGTTAAACTGGTCAGTACAGTAGATTGTTCAACTAATAGACTGAGTTCAAACAGCTCTAGAGAAAGGCTACAGGTGGTAGGGAGAGGGAAAAGGAAAAGACACCACCAAATCTTACCTATACAGTCATATCGGCCATTGATATATTTCAGTTCGAAACCAACATGACATTTGCAATAGTAGCTTCCAAACGTGTTCACACATCTTCGCTTGTAGGGGCAGACGGCTTTACCAGAGGTGCATTCATCAATATCTAGGATGTAGAACCAGAAGGTGTCAGAGACAGTAAGAAAAGCGCTCTTGCTCTGAAATACATATGCACGTGCACGCACTCTTCATGTCTGCTGAGTGAATTAATATTTTTCCAGCTATGTATACTGTACAGCATATATAAAATTTGAAAACAGACAGGTACACTTAAAGCAAGCTGAATATCTGAACATTACAAGTTTTCATTTTACAAAAGAATTATTAGCAAGCTCCTCTAAGTCCTGCAATACTGACCCAAATAACAGAAATGTGGTTTCCTAAGAATGCACTTATATGTAAATTGTGGGTCAAGTGTTATAAAGGAATGATGCAACTTTGGCAAATAACAGGCTTCCTTCCTTTTCTACCATCGAGAGTCACATCATCAGAGGGGCCGACAGCTCTGTCTATCAAACCATTAAGACTCAGGCTTCGCTTTCACTCTTGGATATCAAATCAAATGCATGTTATGTTGTTATTTTGGATCTGTGGTTAAACATACAAGTTGATGCTGGCTTATTGTTTCTTTTGCATTCTTAAAATAATAAGTCAGTGATGGACTGACAAAAATTATTTTTCATGCACATCCTCTTCCCCCTTCCAATAAAAACAGCACCCGACAAATCGAAGAGATGGATGAGAATTTAGATTCAGTTTGGGCAGGAATTAGCCTTGTCATATAAACTTTATTTTACTACAGAGTTCTAAACCCTGTGATTCTAATTAAATCTTTGATTACTCTCAAAGAGCAGAGCTAAAATTTTAATTTACATGATTTTTTTAAAAGTGTTTAACTGATCTAGGATCTATTTGGCTGAGCTTTCTAAATACAGTTTATAAAGTTATGTACATTTAAGATAAACATCCAGCATCTTGACTGAAAAATATTTCTACTGCAGTAAGGAAATAAGAATATTAAATCATACCGATATTTCCTTATTTACATCAAAAAGATTAAGAACTCTTTCAACATTCTGATTTGGTTTGACATCTCTTATTAATGCTATGTGCTCCTTGCTCTAAATATTATGTATATTTAGTATAATTTAATTAAGTACAGTGCTGTGAGGATATACAATTTGGTGGTCAAAGTAAAATGCACAGGGTAAATATACTAAAATAAAATTATTTTTATCCTTTTTTCACTGTGGCATTCGACAACCCCAAAATAATAGAGAAGTATTCTTTCTAGCATCCCAAAGTGTGTCTAGAGCAAATGTGGGTAAAAACGTTGTTACAGAAATGGACATAAGTCTGTACTTTTAGGAGCTTGTGATGTCTAGTCAGCAAGCAGATTGTGACAAATGAAAAAGGAGGAATCCAGTCAAGGGAGCAGGCGAGGGAAGAGAGGGAGTGGAGGCAATGCCTGCGGCTCTACCGATGCAAACTCTTCCGTCTGGGGCCAGGCGGAGTCCCGAGGACGGACATAGACACTGCGGCCCTTCCTTTGTGTCTTCACAGCTATATTGGCAGTTTGTCATGGCACACGTCCTAGAGTCTGAAAGAGTAGGTAAGGATTAGACTTTTCCAAGATGATAAAAAGCGCTTACTGAGAAACCACCTCTGAATTCTGGGACATTAAATATAACACGTGGAATGGTATTATAGGACAAGCTTCTTTGTTTAAGAACAAGATGGAGAGCCAAATGGAATCTGGGCAAGGGTGGTGCTTTGGTGGCCCCATGGTCGGTTTTGTTGGCCAATGCACTGAGTTTGACTGTCCTTAGGTGGGGCACACACCCCTCAGTTCACAAAGACTGCAACTCTCTCTCCTCCTGCATGAGCTCCAATCACTGCTGTATGTCACCGGGCTGGTCTCTACAGGATACGCGCCTTCTGATGTAGGTGATCAATCTGAGTAATCGGAGTAAAAGAATCCATTCGAGAAATCTCTCCATGTCTAGCCTCAATGAGAATCACTCGAGTCATGAGGCTTGTTCTTTTAGGTGCCAGTATTAAAACATGTGGCAGATACAACTGATCGACTACCTGAAAGCCATTCTGGACCCCTTTTTCTCTTGCCATGTCATCATCGAGGCTGAAAAGCCAGATACTTACCCTTTTCCCAGTTTCCCTTTTAGCAATAAGGAGTGGCCACATGACCCAGTTGTAGCTAAAGAGATATACAGATGAGTCTGTTGGAAGGAATGGGACTTCTGGAAAAGATGCTGCTGCATGATAGTAGGGACTGACATGGAGGCGTTCATTCACTGGCATCACCACTTTCCCCTTTGTCTTGTTTACCTTAAATGTATATGTGATATCCGGAGCAAGGGCAGCCAAATTGTAACTGTGAGGCCACAAGCGTGAGAATGAAATCAACACCCTGAGGATGGCAGACACTTGAGTCTTTGCTAAGCTGTTCTGGAATTGCTACCTCCGGCTTTTTTAGCATAATTTAGAGATACTTTAGCATAATTTAGAGATAATTTAGTTAGATTTTTCTGCACTCATTGCTAAACATAACTTATACAAATGCATTTCCTCAGCAGGGGTCCAGTATGTGTGGATCATAAGTTTCTACAACAGGGGATCATGTTGAATATACTCTCTCCATCCACCCCACCTATAACATGCCGATCGCCCAGCTAGACAAAACAGACTGTAAGGGGCCAGGTGAAATACAATCAGCCTCCGGGAGAGAGGTCCAAGGCTAGCTGGACACTTTGAGCTATATGTAAACAGGGAGGCATGGGCAACGCTACGTATACCGAAATAGACAAAGAGGGCACAGGGTTAGATACACAGGCCAAGGTAATGTAACAATATCTACCGATGCTTATATTTCTAGTTTATTCTTCCTTCTCTTAGTTATCTTCTTTTAAAATTAATTTTCAAAATTTACCTAATTCTATCTTTCCATTGGAGGAAAGATAGATATCTTTTTTGGCACTGACTAGGCTTTCAAGAAATGTTTCAGGAACATCCATTAGCATATATCTTTTCAAAAATGTTAAGTGATTACTATAAAAACCTGAATGTTGGTTCCCACGGGGGAGGGGAGTTCTGGTCAAGATCCATTTGGTAGTGGTTACATGGGTGCTCGCCTTTTACAATTTGTTAAGCTATGGATTTGTCTCTTGTGGGTTTCTGTTTAATTTATAACAGTAAGGTTTTTTTTTTTTTTTTTAAATGACTCTTAGAATGCCTGCTTTATCTCTACAGTTTCCTTGCTAACGAAGAATCTAGATGACCTGTGATGTTGGGGCACTTCACCAAGGACGGACAGCGCAAGGTCGAGCCAGGGGAGTAGTAAGCTGTGCATTAGCCAAGATTTTATAACCACGGGAAAGCCCAGGATGGGTTGGAAAGGCTGTGAGACTTCTGCAACCACAGGAAGCTGGCAGAAGGCACAGGCTCCAGGCTTGTGGGGGGCAGCGGAGCAGAAGAAAGAGAGATGGGAAGAGGGGAAGGAGGACGGGATGGAGGCAGGGAGGATGGGTTTACCTTTCAGCTGCAACATAAAACCTGAAAAGCCCTCCTTCTCCATAAAGGAATGGATATAGACTCTTACCCTCCCACAGCACATGGGTTTCTCTTTATCACAGAAGGGCTTTTCTTTTCAGGAATGTGAATCGCAATGTATTTCCAACAAGAGTCACTAATCTTTGAGTGTGGGGCAAGGGGCGTGAGAAAGGTAGTCGATGGGAAGAATTCATGTCAAGATAGAATTTAAGTTTATCACCTTCCTAAAACAATATGCTGATTTTATTCAACATGCTTATTTTCCTGAAGAAATTCAACACATCCCTGAATATGTATAGATATATACTTTATTTTTCTCTTTAGTTTATCTTTTTATTTAAAAAGTATCCAGAATAGCCACATCCATAGAGACAGAGCAGATGGGTCATTGCCGGAGGCAATGGGGAGGAAGGTGGGTGTGGCTGCTAATGGGCACAGGTTTCTTTTTGGGGGGAAGAAGCTGTTCTGGAATTACTGGTGACGGTTGTAAAACATCGCGAATGTATTAAATGCCACTGAATTGTATACTTTAAGATGGTTAGCATGGTGAATTCCACGTTACATGTGTTTTGCCACAATTAAAGATGCAGCAAAAGTGTTTTAGCCTGAGGCGATGTTAAATTTGATTTGGTTGTTTTTTTTCCCCGATCACTCAAGTCAACTTTTGCCCAAGCATCATATGGCAAACATCAAGCCTCAAAGGTTGACTGAGAGGAGCCTGGCTGTTGAAACTTACTGGCACACGTGGCATCTGGCATGAGCATGTGGCCGCTGAGGCAAAAGCACTTGTAGGTCCCATGAGTGTTCACACACCTGTGTTGGCATGGCCGTGGTTTCACTCCACACTCGTTCACATCTGCAGGGGGCAGTTAGAACATGGAGAAAGGTGAACTGAATCGAGAAACATCCAGATACGGGACTGGGCTGGCTTCCCTGGAACCCACCTGTGAGAGTGGGGACATGCGGCAATGACTCGCTTTTTCTCTGACGTTCATTAAAGGATTGGTGAGGATGCGTAGTGAGCTACACCGCTGGAGGGAATGTAAACAGGAACAGCCATTTTGGAAAACTGGCAGAATCTACTAACTCTAGATATAGACATGCCCATGACCTAGCAATTCCACTTCTGGGTGTCTACCCAACAGAAACATGGATATTGCTCACCAGAAAACTCCCAACAGAAGGATGGATAAACGACCTGTATACTCGCGAGAAGGAAAACTACAGAGCAACGAGACTGAACATACTGCAACTACAAGTATCAGTGGATGAAGCTCACGAATGTGATATTGAGTGGAAGAAGCTGGAGACAACATGCACATTAAAACACAGGGACAACTAATCTGTGGTTGTTGGCGGTTGGGGACAAATGACTAGACGAGAGTGTGAGGGGGTAGGCTGTTAAGTTTCTGTTTCTTGATCTGAATACCAGTAATATGGGTGTTTTTGAAAATTCATTGAGCTGTACATTTTTGACATATACACGATTCTGTGTGTGGACTGCTTGAGTAAAAAGTTATAAATACACAATTTAGATAATACTGTCTTTAATGCTATCCCAGGCAACCTATGACAGATGCCGACAGCACAGCCACCTCTCAGTTGTTATTTCGGGAGGCCCTACCAAACTAAATTTATATAAAAAAATTCCCAGAAAAAAAAAAAAGCCTGGGAGGCTAGGATCTAAATGCTAATAATCAGGTTGTGAGACTGACTTCCTTCTCTGCGTTTTTTAGTGTTTTCTAAAAACTTCTAAATATTCAGAATAAATAACTTTTTTATTAAAATGAAAAATGATACAGAAGGAAGCCTTGGGTTGAGGAAATGCTGTCATGTGGGTGCCTCGTGTCCGAACCTCTCAAAGAAGTGAAAGAGGAGAAAACAAGCACATTCCTCGTACGACAAAAATTCAGCATGGCAGCAGGCAAAGTGTATCCTTGAAAATAAGGAAGTGGCTGCTTTTGCCTCTGAAAAGGACCTTGTATGCAGATTTCTCTGACACCCTAGCTGGACATGTAGAAAGCCCTTTCTCCATTGCCCATCCCCTACACCCTACCAGCTTCCAAATGGATCCTAATCGCTTCAAAAGGGGACTGAACAGAATGAGAAATCCAGGATTACCCCCTACTTGGCCCTAACCCAAAGGCGACTCACTGGTCTCTTGGAAGAAGCATTTTTGGGAAAGACATCAGTGGAGGGCTGAGACCTGTCACCATGATCAGATATATCTGGCCTTTGATCAGGGTGCCCCGGGGCAGGGAGGCTGTGGTTTGGAGACAGACAGTCCCAAACTCAAGCCAACTGGACCATTCCCTTAATGTTAATATTTTACTGAGACTTGACAACCAGCATGAAAAATTTCTTCTCTGTTCCAAATCTCTTAGAAGGTGCCTTGGTACAGAATCTAAGACATTTGGAAAAATAGGTTTCCTTGTATGAAACTCCAAGTCGGGGATGCAGCTGAATGATTACTTATGAGACCACGATTCTTGATGCACCTCTCTCAAGCAGCTGGACGTGGTTCTAGGAAGCACCCTAGGGCGCTGGCCTGTATGCTGCTGGTGGGAGAGAAGAGATTCACAGACTCCTCTCTGAGGCTGCAGGACTGGCAGCTCAAAGAAAGGCTGTTTCAGTGTGCACGGCTAACCTCTGGGCTGGGTGGCAAGGGCTGGGCATGGCAGAGTGGAGTGGGTGCCTGCCTTTCTCTGCAACCCCATTCTTCCTTCTAGAACCATGGCAACCTTTCTTAAGGGCAGTTGAACTTGATTTGCTGTTCTTTGCTCAACTGTGTTAAAGAACTGGGAACATGTTCTTAATTGTTACAGGTTTCTTCATGCCAGGGGTTCTCAATCTCAGCATTGTTGACATTCGGGTCAAATCATTCTTCGTTGCGGGGGGCTGCCCTGTGCACTGTAGGATGTTTAGCAGCATCCCCGGACACTAGATGCCAGTAGTAAGCCCTTCAAAACAACTTCAGCTGTCCCCTTGGGTAAGGTTCCCAGATTCAGCAAACAGGATACTCAGTTCAATTTGAATTTCAGATAAATGACTAATACTTTATTAGTATACACATATCCCATGCGATATTTGGAACATGTGTACCCTATAAAATTATTTGTTGTTTATCTGAAGTTTAAATCTAACCGGGAATCTGTTTTTAATCTAAAAACTCTTCCTAGGGGTCAAAACTGCCCAGATTGAGAACCACAGTTCTCAATATTATCAATAAACTCTTTACCATCTTCTGCTAAACAGCCTATGACAAAAGTCACAAACTGCCTTTTAAAGTATGTCAATTACAATAAAAATATGCAAGTCATTCTACCCAACAATCCCACCTGTAGATATTTATCCTATAAACATACCCACTCAGGGTACAAGAATATACATAGAATGATGTCTGATTTAGCATTGTTTACAATGGCAAATAACTGGAGACAACTTAGATGATAGCGGTTAAATAAAGTATTTTTTACATAAATGATAAAAGCATTCACACTATGGATTAGGACACAGTCTTGAAAAGCTTGAGGTAGCTCTGTCTGCGTTGACATGAGAAGATGCCCATCAGAAACGCTGAGGCCTGCAGTGATCCAGGACAGACTTAACTGGCTGGGGTAAGCACGGGGGTGAACATTTTCACTTGTTAATTTAAACCTTTTTGCACTGTTGGATTCTTTGAGTGGAAAACATGCATTACCTCGGTAGCTTAAAAAAGAATAAAAATATTCGTTTAGAGAAAAGAAAGACCTGTTATCTGGCCTCTTGACAAAAAGTATCGGAAAGATTTCTACATCTTTCTAGAAGAGATTGAAAATTTTAGTTCTGAAATCACTTTCATCTGAAGTTCGAGTTAAAGACATCCTGAGCACTATATTGTGTCACAAACCACACTGCAATGATTGAAATGCTTCTGGAAGGTAGGTTTGTACTAGGGCCCTGGTCTGTTTCACTGACCTTGACTGCAGGTTTTCCCGGTGTATCCTGGGAAGCATCTACATTTGTTTGGTCCCACACACTCTCCAAACTTGCATCCAGGTTCACACGTAGCTGTAAAAAAGAAAAGGTATTTTGAAGAATAGAACAGGAGTAGTTAGCACAGTGAAATGCACGCATGTTAAACTCAGCCAGCCACCTTCTGTATGACAGAGAAATCTAAGGGGACACAAAAAAGGACGATCTGCTTCCTCTCTTGTCTGTTCTCACCTTTAAGATACTGGAAAGTGTTTTGCTTGTAAACTAGATCGTACTCCACCATCATGGCTTCCACTTCAACGAGTGCCAGTTTATTTTAATATGACTTAGCCCTGCCACACCTCCAGTGGCATTCGAAGAAAAATAAAGCCTCCCAGACCACAGCCAACCAGTTTTGCACGTAAACACAGAAGAGTTAATAAAAGAAGTATAATGTGCTAGTCAGAAGAGACTCCTGGGGTAAGTGCTAATTAAGAGCCCTGTTCTTTCTGTCGCTTGCCTCTTTTTTCTCTTCCATATTTTCTCTATTTTTCTTTTGAATGATCAAAATCTTTTGAAAGCTGTGTATTACCAGGAAAAACGAATAACTCACAGATTGGAGGTGGTGAGGCGTGCTACCTCCAGCCCTAAGGATGGGAAGAAAAAGCATGATGAGGAGGATGAGGATGAGGATGGGATGACAAAGGCAGGATTTGCTTTTCCATTTTATTCACTTCTGTATCCAGACACCTGACACACACATTAGGCACTCAATAAATATTTGTTTGCTGAATGAAGTGGCGGGAGAAAACAGAGGATGTTTAACTGATTGGGTTGGGGGCAAGAAAAAAAATAGTCAAAGATGATGGGAAATTTGCATCCATCTGATAGGGAAGAGATAGGGAGAAAAAGTACTAGAAAAAAAGGAAAATGGGAAAACTCAAAGAGAAGAAGGGGAGAGAGAAACAAAATATTGAATGAGAGAGAGAGGGGAAGGCATGTAGGGAATCAAGGGCCGTCAGCAGGTTTTGGAACCAGTAAGAACTCAGGAAATGACCGTGGTATGAAAGAAAGACTCAGCAATTGCCCTGGAATGCTGCTCACTTCTCTGCCCATTGATTCTCTGACTCATAGTAGGTCCACCTCTGAGCAAGCCTGTTCCTAAAGATCCCAGCATCTTCCCATTCAACCCTAGTTTTTGTTAATGTCACCATTCGTCTCCCAGTTATCTGGAATCAATATCTCAGACATCTCTATTTTTTCTTGTCCCCAAATGAATCAGTTACCACATCTTACCCCTGTTCCTACCACTAGTTCATTCATTGAACAAATATTTATCTAGCTAATGGGAACCACTTTGCCCACAGATATTGGATGGTTACACCACACCCCTTCTTC